AGGGAGGGAGGGGTCATGGGGCTTGGGTCCCGGCCGGAGCCGCTGGGGCCGGCAGTGCTCGGCCGGGGGCCGGAGCCGCTGGGGCCGGCGGTGCTGGGGCCGGCAGTGCTGGGGCCGGCGGTGCTCGGACGGGGGCCAGGGCCGCTGGGGCCGCCGGGGCCAGGGCAGGCCGGAGCCGCTCGACCGGAACCAAGGCCGGAACCCCAAAGCCCAAGCCGAGCCGGGTAGGAGACGTCGGGGCCAGAGCCTCTTGGCCGGGGCCGGCCGGCCGCCAGAGGGAGCCGCTCAGCCGGGGAGGCCGGACTGGGCCGCGCCGCTCCCCACCCCAGCCCCAGCTTACCTGCTACCTCCCTGTTTCAGGCTTCCCGCGAACATTTGATTCGCGGGAAGCAAGGGACGGGGAAGAGCAGGGGGGCAGAGCGTTCAAGGGAGGGGGCGGAGTTGGGGCGGGGCCTCATTTTTTTAAATTAAAATATGGTAACCCTACACATGGGGGCCCACCCCTCCCCTCCCCTGGTGGGCCCAGATGGCAGCGGCACTCCCGGCTGAGCCCATATTGGTTAACCGGGAGGTGGGCGGGCTCACCCACCCAACGTGTGGAGCACGAGCGTGTACAGGTGGTCCCTGGGCGCGGTTCGAAACCGGACCGGCTGCAGAGCGTGCAGCCGGCTCGGATTATGGGAGCGGGGGAGCCGGGGGGGCTCACAGAACAGGGGCCCGATAAAAAGGTCTGGAGGGCCTGGGGTGAGGGGTGGGCGGGGAGCGCCCTCTTGCAGGGCCCGCCACAGGAAGCTGAGAGCAGGAGGCGACAATGCAGCGCCCACCTCCTGGAGTACACACAGAGCGGTCGTGAGGGTGCAGAGCCCCATGCGCCGGCCAAACGCGCGGGGATCCACCCAGTCCCCCCTGGTGTAGTCCAGGAGGTCTCCGGACCCTGGTGGTTTCTGCCAGGACCAGCCTCCGGCTCACTGAGGGTGACTCCGCCACCTGCACACCGAGATCGGGATTGTGCAGCAGGGGCTCCGCGAAGAGATCCGCGCCCTCGGTGGCCACAATGGACCTGGTCGCCGAAAAAAGCTTCCAGGTCCGGAGGAGGTCCTGGTAGAAGACCGGCAGCTCCGAGAGGTCTCGCGGAAGACCTCTTGGGTGAAGAAAAAGGAGCTGCCGGTCGTATCGGAGCCCTCGGAGGCGGCTGAGGAAGGCGTGCGCTAACGTGCTCCATGCCAGACTACCTGCACCATAAAGGAGCCTCTGCAGGGCCTGGAGGCGGAAGACATAGACCTGGCTATGGAGGCAAGCCAGGCCCTGTCCTCCCTCCTCCAGGGGAAGACTCAGAACCCCTGCAGAGACCCAGTGCAGTCCCGGCCAGAAAAACTCCAGGGCCGTCCTCTGGAGTCTGGCCAGGAGCCCCGGGGTTGGGCTCAGGGTGTTGAACCGGTGCCAGAGCATGGACAGGACGAGCTGGTTCAGCACCAGCGCCCTCCCTCGCAGGGAGAGACACCGGAGCAGTCCTGTCCACCTCCGCAACCGCTCACCCACCCTGGCCTCCAAATCCTGCCAGTTCTCCGGCGGAGAAGGATGCGTGGCGGAAAGGTAAACGCCAAGATAGAGCAGCGGACCCGCGCTCCACCGGATGGCTTGAAGCGCGGGTGGGAGGGAGCTGGCCTGCCACCCGTCCCCGACCAGGCCAGAGCTCTTGACCCAGTTGACCCGGGCGGAGGAAGCCGCCGAGTAAACTGCCTGGCAGGCCTCCACCCGCACCAGGTCCCCTGGGTCCTGGACCACGAGGAGCACGTCGTCGGCGTACGCCGACAGGACCAGCCGCAGCTCCGGCTCCCGAAGCACCAACCCCGCTAACCTCCGACGGAGGAGGCAGAGGAAGGGCTCGATGGCCAGAGCGTACAGCTGGCCCGAGAGGGGGCACTCCTGCCGTACTCCCCTCCCGAAGCTGACCGGCTCGGTCAGGGTCCAGTTGAGCCTGACCAGACACTCCACCTCAGCGTACAGCACCTGGAGAAAACCCACAAACTGGGGCCCGAAGCCGAACGCCCGCAGAGTGCCCAGGAGATACCCGTGGTCCATCCTGTCGAACCCCTTCTCCTGGTCCAGGGACAGGAGGGCGAACAACAGACCATCCCTACGCCCCAGCTCTAGTAGGTCCCGGACCAAGTACAGGTTATTGAAGATGCTCCGGCCCGGGACGGTGTAGGTCTGGTCGGGATGGACCACGTCCGCCAGCACGGACCCCAGCCGCAGCGAGATGGCCTTCGCTACGACCTTATAGTCCGTGCTGAGGAGCGAGACGGGACGCCAGTTCCATAAATCGCGGAGGTCCCCCTTCTTCGGCAACAAGGCGAGCATGGCTCGCCTGCATGAGAGAGGGAGGACCCCGCCTTGCAAGGACTCGGCCCAGCCACTCCTGTCCCCATGTGCTGCCTGGGCATGGTGCCATGTTCCCCTCGAGCCCCTGGCCGAGAGCACTGGGCCTGCCCCCGCCCCCCCACCCCCCCGGGCCGGTGACTCACTGGCGCGCCGTGCCGTAGCCCTCGCTGTAGGTGGTGGCCGAGATGCCCACGATGAGGGCCGGCACGCCGTAGCCCAACAGGAACATGTAGCGGCGCCTGAGGCCGTGGGGGGTGAAGACCTGAACCACCAGCAGGTAGAGCTCGGCGCCCTCCAGGCACATCCAGCAGAAGGCGGCCAGGAAGAAATAGTGCAGGAGCCCGGCCACCACGCCGCACACCACCTGCAGCCAACGGGACGTGGGACGTCAGGGCCGGGCTCCCGGCTCCTCCAGCCCCAGCCCCTGGCAGCAGGGGGCGCAGTGGGGAGCGAGACAGGAGCACTGGCTGTGGGGGGAGCTCCCGGCTACTTCAGGCCCAGACACTGGGGGCACTGTGGGGAGCAAGGCAAGACTGCTGGCTGTGGGGTGGCTCCTGGCTTCTCCAGCCCCAGCCTGTGCCAGCAGGGGGCACTGCAGGGAGCAGGGCCTGAGGTTGGCTGGGTGGAGCTGCCAGCGTGGGGCCCTGTGGGGAGCGGGGCCTGAGGCTGGCTGGGGGGGGCGCTGTGGGGAGCGGGGACCGAGGCTGGCAGGGGGGGGTCGCTGTGGGGAGCGGGGCCCGAGGCTGGGGGGGGGCCAGGTACCCTGTTGCCGGTGCTGGAGATGCCGATGAGGAAGACGGTGTAGGCGATGAAGAGCGCCAGGCAGAGGTGCAGGTGGATGGTGGTGCGGGGGCCCTTGAGGGCGCGGCAGAAGAGGAAGGTGATGATGGACAGCAGCAGGCACAGCAGCGAGATCACCAGCCCCACCTTGGTGATGACGTCCAGGGTCCAGTCCTGTGCCGGGGGTGGGGTGAGGGGGTTACTCAGGGTCCCCTCCCCCCAAGGCAGCAGCCAGGCCGGGCTTTAGGGTACAGCCGGACTAGCCTGTCGGCCTCGCTCTGTGCCAGGGCTGGGAGAGCCCCCTAGTGGCGACACCGGGCAGCCTGCGGGAACCAGTGTCTGGCTGGGTCCAGCCGCCCAGATGGATTCGATGCTGCCCAGGCTGTCCCCCCTAGGGTCTAGGGTCTCCACCAACCAGCCAGGCGGAAAGGCACGTCGGTTGCTGCTACCTGAGGAGTCTCCCTGTTCCCTTGGGGTAGGTGCTGCTTGTGCCCCCGATCAGATCCAGGGCCCCACCCGCCGGTGGGGAATGGGTTTACTCAGGGGAGAATCTGGAGTGACTCCTACTCCGCTGGGTATGATTGAGGGGAAGAACAGAACCAGACCAGCCCCGAGGCCCCAGCGAGGGCCGCACCTACCTCCAGCTCGTAGAAGGCCATGAGCACGGCGAAGCTGGCCAGGTGGTTGCACTGGCAGCGGGTGCTGTTGGTGGTCAAGTTCTGCAGGGTGCAGCCGTGGGTGGCCCAGCGCCTGCTGTCAGGCTCCCAGTAGGCGCAGAGGAGGCGCAGGTCGGTCTTGTTCTCCTGGGGACAGAGAGACGCTTGGTGCATGGGGGGGGGCAGGAGGCGGATGGGGGGCTGGCTGGGGCTGCACAGGGGGGAAGGACTCCCCAGGCCCCGAGAGGGCAGGTCGGGGGGGTATGAGGGGCTGGGCTGGGCTGGGTGCACAGAGCATCAGTTTGTCCCTGTGTGGGAGGCGGATTCACCTGCTGACCCGGGTGGGGAGTGTTACTAGAGATGGGCCCAGCTCTGCCCTCCAGTGCCCCAGGCTCTCCTCCCGCCATGCCCAGCCCAGGGGCTCACCGGCACCGGGTGGCTGAAGCGGATGCTGACGGAGAGGCCGAGTGCCTGGGGGTTCGGGTCACTGATGAAGGCCGACGCCACTGGAGACAGCACACGGTAGCTGGGCCGCCCCGGCTCCTGCGCCTGCTTCCCCGTCTGGCCGATCTCGTCCCACTTGGGCATCTCCACCCGCCCAGCACCGTCCAGGATGGGACTCATCCTCTGGCATGTCAGCAGCCCGGCCAGCGTGAAGCCTGCGAGAGACAGAGGAGACGGATGAAATGGGGGGCAGGAGGGGCCCTGGGGCAGACTGGTGCCAGGGGCGCTGTGCTGCTGGGGATGCTGCCCCCAATGCCCTGGCCATGCCCGGTCCCCCTACACACCCCAGTCTGGTGCTAGACGGTGCTGTGCTGCTGCTCCCAATGCCCTGGCTGTGCCCATCGCTATACAGACCCCAGCACAGGGGATGACCACATACCTTCATTTTCCTGCCCGGGGGCTCCGGCCCAGTTTAATTCCATCTGCATCTTGCTCTGCTGCAGCGTCACGGTCTCCTGGCTCTGGTTCCCAGCCTGCCTGACCGCCAGCCCCAGCTCTGCAACCACAATGCCAGCCAGGGCTCACAACAGAGACATGGAGAGGAAACCTGTAGCTAGGCAAGGTGCTTTCCTGACTGTGTGGGGGAGCTCCCAGCTACTCCAGTCCCAGCCTCTCCCAGCAGGGGGCCCTGTGGGGAGCAGGGCGGGAGCACTGGCTGTAGGGGGGAGCTCCCGTCTCCCAGCAGGGGGCACTGTGGGGAGTGAGGCGGGAGCACTGGCTGTAGGGGGGAGCGCCCATCTCCCAGCAGGGGGCGCTGTGGGGAGTGGGGCGGGAGCGTAGGCTGCGGGTGATGAAAGCCCAACTGGGGCCACGTGGCCAGGTGCTGACCTGTGCTCTTGGTGGGTGCGAATCTCATCATTCTGTCACGCAGGGTCATGGCCAGCTTCCTCAGCAGCTTCTCCACTGTGGCCATCAGCACCGTCGCGCTCCGGTGTCTCTGCTCCACGCTCTCGCTCTGCTCCTCAACCAGATTTATCTCCTTCTCCAGAATGTCCAAGAAGCCCTGGCCAAGCAAACGTGGGGGGTGTTGGTGTCACAGTGCCTGAGCCTCTGCCATGCCCCCCATTCCCAGATTGCTAGTTCTCCACTGCCTTCCCACAATCCCCCTGAAAGGAAAGACAAGTTCTCCTGCAATTGACATCACTGCCTGGGAGGTCAGACTAGATGATCACAATGGTCCCGTCTAGTCTAGGAACCTAGGAGAGCAGCTTCTTGGGCACAGAGCCCCCCGGAGAGGCAGGCGTGGGAATTTCTGGGCAGTGCTGCTGTTTATTTCTCTCCTGTTCCAGGCGCTGCATCCCTATAGATCGCCCTGAGACTAGATCCGAGTAGGAGCAGCAATTCCTCCCCCTAACGGGAACAAACCCAGCAAGGCCCCGAATTTTGGCTTGGCACCTGCGGCTTCTCTTCGGCGTTCTGAGAGTTCATCTGCTTCAGCTCCTCCAGCGCCGCCTTGCAGAGACGTCCCATCTGTGCCTGGAAGCTGCCCTGGAGGTTCTGCAAAACAAGACCCAGGCCTGGCTCAGGAAAAGAGATCACAGACTCGCAGCCCACCTCCCCCCGTCCCGAGAGGCTCCCTCGGCTCAGAAGCCAGGCACCAGAGGGAGCGCGGGCGATGCCCCGTCTGGCCCCTAGGGGGTGCCCGGCGTTTGCAAGGGATGGGGGGGGACGGCGGTTGCAAGCTGAAGCGAGTTGCAGCAGCCTGACGCTGCCGATCCTGGAGGGTGAGAATCACCCCGGGGCAAAGGCCTAGGCCGTGGCTGGACTGCAGGGGCTCCAGGGACTGGCCACTGGCTCTTTGCCCAGGGGCAAGTTTGGCCCCAGAATCCTCATGGGGCGAGATCAGTGAAAAGCAACGTGGCACTAAAGGGGAATCGGGGTCTATCCCCCCCCCCTGGGGTCTGTGCCCCACTCACCTTGGCTTCGGCAGAGTTGTCATCATCCAGCAGCTGGGGGCAGGTGAGCTCTGGGGATGGAAAGGGAGGAGGAGTGAGAGATGGGGGCGGAAATGCAGGGTCTGGCTGGGTAAGTGCATGCCCTAGAGCCAGACACAGAAAGCAGGACTCATTTCCTCCAGCAGGGGGCGGCAGCAGCCTCCCCTCACTCCCCCCCCGCCCCCGGCAGGGACACACCCAG